TTACCATCGGATTCCTCGTAAAAAGTTACTTCAAGAACAACCTTCACCCGGTTAAAAAAATAACCGGCTTAGAAAATTTCTCAGGTGTATCGTTACTTTTTGGACACCCTGTATAATATTTTTACATATAAAATTTAATGCATACAATTATATAAATAAAATGTATTGTATGATATTATTATGTTAGTAACATTAATAAATTCTCAATTCTAGTTCGAAAGGGAGAAAGCTGATTAATGAATATGATTCATTATATTCATTGAGTTATGACTATAGTTATTTATACTCTTAATCATTTGTATACATTTTTGAAAGTAGAAAAAAATTAAAATATTAATTTTCTTAATATCTACGAAAGCCAAACTGGTACAAAATTTTCAAAAACTATGTATGTCAATGTAATAATAATAATAGTTTACTCTTATTATTATTACATTGACAAATAATTAATATTAATATTAATTATTTTCTAAATACTGTAAAAATAGAAAAAAGTGCATTAGAAAACTTTCTGCGAATATTTCAACATAGTAAGACCAGGAAGTAGCTATGTCTTGCCAAAAATTTGTAATTTTCTTTTTTGAACTATACAAATTTAAAGGATTTAAAGGGTTATAGTGAAAATTGAAATTTTCGTTGACAATTCGCAGAAATTCGAGATGAAAAAGAATAAAGAGTCAAAATACATGAACGAAAATAACAGATTTACATTCCTTCTCAAAAGTCACATCGAAAAAATGATTTATAATGTAAATTTAATATAAATATTAGATTGGCTTTCGAGAAAATTGACATTTTTGTCAACTTTGTGTGAAAAATCGCGATTTAAAAACATAAGAACTCAATATACGTGAAGAGAATTACGTATTTGGATTTATTATCAAATAATTCATAAAAAGCGTGCATCACAATGCATTTTTAGTATGAATATCAAATTTTCCATAGAAAAAATGAAATTTTTGTAAAAATGGTAGCGAAAAGTTTTTTGACCTTGAAACGTAAAAATATCGTTTCAAGGAAAACGGATTCGAATTTCTCGATTAAAAATACACTGAAAACGCTATTTTAATATTTTTTTGAGGATGAATCCGTGTAAGACTTTATTTTTGTCCATTTTTTCACCATTGTTGACCATTGTGCAACGGTTACATTTTATGGCATTCACAAATTATGAAGCTTATTTTGACAAAACATGTTAAATTTAGAGAAAAATTAACCTTTAAAAATATAGATAAGATTGATGAATTGACTAGAGAATATAACGAGAATTTGAGCTCGTAGTAGTAAATGAGAAAGAAATATTAGAGAAAACCTTTGACTCGAGTTCAGAAGGAAATATTACAGAAAAAACTAAATTTCCCAAGAGAAAAATAGAAAATATCAAAAGAAATGGAGAGTCAGACTATAGTACAATCTCAGAGAGATAGCAAGGTAAAACGACATTATAAATCAATGTCAAAAAGAAAGGCAAATCTTCTGATGAAAAAATTATATTGAAAGCTAGATTAGTGCTTAGGAGATACAAAGATACTAATGAATATGATCTTAGAGAAACGTATGCCTCGGTATCAAGACTTACTATAATTAGAGCCGCGATTACAAAAATTAATAAACTAGATCTCATAATCTCTCAATGAGATGTTAAAACTGCATTTTTAAATGAAGAATTATTGATAGAAATATATATTGAAATACCTGAGGGAGTACAAGTAGATAAATAAAGGAAAGAAAATAAAGTTTGCAAATCACATAAAGCTGTATATGGTTTAAAGATTAGTCCAAATAAATGAAATCAATTTTCCATAGAGGTTGAGAAACTAGGTTTTCAGAGATATATAAATGAACTATGCTTATTAACTTATAGGAGGTGTAATGATTATACTCATTCTCTTTGTAGATGATATATTATTACCTGGAAATGAGTTAAAGAAAATAATGAAGTCAAAGACCATTGAGTTCTGTATTTAAAATGAAAGATGTAGGAGAACTTAAACAGTATTTAAGCATACAAATAACCAAAAATAAAAATAAGAAAGAAATCAAGTTAAGTCTAAGCAGATATATTGAGAAAATATTAGAGAGATTTGAAATGAATGAAAATAGACCATAAAACACACCTATGATTACGAAACAAGTTAAAACCAGTTAAGAACTTAGAAGAATCAGAAGAATCCAGGAAAATAAAATTTCCTTATAGAGAAGCCATAGGTTGCTTGATGTATCTTGCTAATATAACAAGACCTGATATTTCATTTGCTATAAATTATTTAGCTAGGAATCAATACAATCCTACGATGGAAGATTGAAAAGAGTTTTTAGATATGTTAGAGGAACTTCTAATCTAGGTCTAACTTACTAAGACAACACAGAAAACTTAGAAGTATACACTGATGCGAGCTTTAGAGACAACTTAGACTCATCTTCCACAAGTGGAATGATTGCTCGTTTATTTGGAGATACTGTTATGTGAAGAAGCCGCAACCAAAGTGTTATAAACCTATCTACTTGTCATGCGGAATATTTTGCTACGAGCGAGGTTTGTTAAGAAATGATATTTTTAAACAAAGTTAGAGACATGTTTGCTTAACAATGTACCCAATAACCATTAGATGTGATAATAAATCCTCAATTAGGTGTCCGTAAAAGAAAGAAAACTACAAATTAAAAAACTTTGGCGAATGAATAAATGAAATTAAAATTAATTTGGAAAATAGAGAAAAGACGGAAGTTAAAAATAAATTATCTAAAACACATGGAGACTATATTAACCAATACATTACAGAGAGAAAAATAAAGATTATATAGGTACCTTCTAACGAAAATCGAGCAGATATTTTTATTAAGCTTCTTCCTTTTGATGTATTAAGAAAACTTAGAGACACCATAATGAATGAATAAAAATTTGTGTTATGCTATTTTTGAATCATTTACAGAAGAGAAAGCCAATGGGATTAACACATAAACTTTCAGTCACTGGGATATGCATGCGCTTACAAGAAAAGGAGTATTAAGTGTGTTTGTATGCATGTGCATGCACCCAATCATGTGACGTCCGTACCCTTTTAGAGAGAAAATATTAATAAATTTCGTCATTTGACGACAATAATACACAATGTATTTAACCGAGAGATTTAAGCGCATGTGAAAATACAAGTTTTCACACAATTAACAAACAGTCACTATTGTTGTACATGACAAGTAAGAGAGAGAGATAGGGAGAGAGAGAGAGAGAGAAAGAGAGAGATGTAACGGTTTAGGTTGGTTAAGGCCGACACCGTGCGTCACTTCTCTCTCTCCGACATCGGCAAGGGCTCATGGCGGGCATCTGGCGCACGTATGTTTCGTCCCCGATGCCAGTCTTTTGTTTCAGCATCGGTTTCTCTCTTCATCAAGAAAGAAAGAGAGAGCAGCAGCAGTATTAGTGGCCAGGAGCGCGCAACAACATGCGCTCTCGTTAGTTATCGAGGGAGAAAGAGAGAGGGAGAGAGAGAGAAGAGTGTGAGAAGCAGTCTCTCATGCACTATTGCGTCGCTTCATGTAAGCATTAAGGAAGTGACCCCGCAAGCGAGAGCATACCAATTAACGCACCAACAGTATTCTCGAGAGCGGCCCTTTGTCCACCAGTCACGCCATATCCAAGGAGGTCACCAGCCGGCAGAAAGACGATCAACTCGCCAGCCCAGAGGACTTCACCAATTAACAGGTCATACTCTCTCCTCTCGTTTCTCTTCCTTAATCGGTTTTAACCCTTTTTTGGCTATTCGCGATTTATGCGCTATGCCAGGCTCTCGTGGGCCAGTACAGCTGAATTAGTGGTTAAGTTGTCTTTTTTATTGTGTATCGAGTCGGTTGTATGATGGCAAGGCGCTCACGTGCCGGTCATCTCATTTAGTTGATAAGAAGTTATTGTGCATTACGTTAAGGTTTGATAGATTGTTCTGTTCGTCATCGCTCAAGGTAGTGATTTTATAATAAACGTATTTGGTTGGTAAAAGGTGAGAATATTTATTGCGATCGCCTTTCCTCTTCTGCCTTGGTGGGAGCGTTATACCGCCTCCCTTACCTCCCCCTTAAAGAATTTGGTGATAGCGGGAAAAGATTATAGGCCAAGGACGGCCGACGCTATTACAGAGAGAGAGAGAGAGAGAGAGAGAGAGATAAATAAAACCAAATTCGAGCTGGCGGAAGGGGCAGTGCACGCAAAATAAAGTAAGCTCTCTCGAAGCAGAAAGTTTTTGTCTATATGGTTTCCTGCATCGTTGCTGCAGACAATGATGCGCAAGTGGCTTGGTAGTTATGCAAGAGATGTGCGCATTGGTAGGTATCTTATTGGCCACCTCTTGCTATTCATGACGTCCGGAAAACGGTGAACCGGATGATGAGATTCTTACTCTTGGAAGCGCAAGGAGTCCAGCTTTCGACCCACTCAACTTTATTTGGTCAGTCACCAGACGTACTCGGTAATACCACCATGTACGAATTAGGTTGCACCATAAATACGAAGTTTCTCATTAGTGTAAAACAACGCAAAGAGACATAGTAGCTTGGGAAACGACTTTATCTTTTTATTATTTTCTGCAACTTGTTAGTCGAAGTGATACTAACCTTTTTGCTTATTCGCATGCCGCCCTCTCTGTCAGGTTGACACTTACTATTTTCTGTCACGGTCGTTCCTGATTATAGGCGTGCTTTATCGAATATTTATTCGTTAAAACCTATAAGGGCGCGCGTGCACGCGCGCGCGCATGTGTGTATGTGTGTGTGTATCTGTGTGTGTAAACTCGTAAAAAATTTAAATATTTTTCTATTTAAATATATTTAAACTTTTTCATAGATATTATGAATATTTAGTCATTATCTTCCATTAATTATAAAATACTGCTAAAACCCAAATTATTGATCAATAACAAGAGTTTCTCAGCTTTATTTTTTTCAGTAATTTATAAGTTTTTGATAAATATCTAAATTAATAACTTATAATATGATTTTTCTATCGATAGATATGAGAATGGAGAAGAGGCTGTAATCAAAAAGTCAAGAGATGATTCCTTGATTGACCGTATAATATCAGATAGTCCCAGAAGTAAGTAAAGAAATCATACGTACAGACATAAGTACATACATACACACACACACATATATATTTTAATGAAGGTAATTTAATCTTGATTATCTCCGTATAGATTTATTCACAGCATACGAGTATTCAATATGAGGCTCATCGCCGCCTCTATTTACAACAAAGAGATTAACTCTTTACAAAGTGCTGAGTTGAACTATGAACTCGATTTTAGGCGAGAAAAATGTTAGTGAGTTAAGGTTTTGTATAAATATAAAAAATTAATAAGTAGACAAATACAGAGCAGCAAACAAGCGTTTTACTTCATTCTACCTGATAAAAGTTGACACGTCGCACAGTGGGAAATATCGGAAAAAATTCTACATACACGTTAATTTAAATTGAAAGAATTTTTTTTCCAAGCATCCTTAATATTAAGATGCAAAAATATCACTTTTCTGTATATATATTTCATCAACTCTATATATGCTATTTTAGACCAACTCTTTTTGTTAATCGTTAGACAAATATTTGAAGTCAAATCAACAAAAATGGTCTGAAATATCTGAAAAAATTTATACGTATATTTTTGAAAAACTAAATTCAATGCCGTTGCTATTTTCACCATTCAAGGACATATAAAAATCGTATCTGGGTAGTATCAATTTCATTTGAAGATCAAATCGTGATATATAGTCTAAAAAATGTAGTCATGTAAAGTCAAAAATATAAGTCATAAAAAATGTAAAATCAATTAAAGGTCAAACTAAGCAATTTTTTTTTAATTTTGAAAAACCTATACGAATGTTTTTAGTCTTGCTGAGACCAAATTTTATATTATTTCTACTATTAAAAACAGATGAATGTCATTTGGAGATCATTTAAAGGTCAATACGCCCATTTTCTTGCCTTAGCTGGCTTTTATTATTTTATCATCATTATTATTATATTATTATATTATATATAATATTATTATATAATTTGCAGCGGTAGTCGATTCGAACAATCGATACGTTCGCGATTCGACATACTCGAAGTGCTAGAGTGAATGATTAGGAGAGAGAGAGAGGGGGCTCGCGCGAGTTTAAGTTTTAGTATAGCCTCAGTTGTTAACTAGAAAACCGCCAATTTTTCAATTGAGTTTCTTTGCCGTTTGCCGAGCGAAAGTTTTTTGGTTTTATTTTGGTACGTGCGTGGGTGCGACTTGGAGGAGCGAGGAAAAGCACAACTGAGCCAAGAGCAGCGAAGAGTTGGGTAAGCAGCAACCGATCCGGTAGCTAAGGCAGCATTGTCGCAGCATCACCCGGGAGAAAAAATGTTTGCCGAAATCATTTACGGCTGATCACCATAATTGCATCGCAGGGTAGGTGTACCTCCCTTTTTCCGCGCGACGAAATATTTCCGAAAGTATTTTTATACGTGACTGTTGCCCGTTTCGTATTCGCGCCAAGCGTTATAGTTCACAATAAAATTTTATATTTTTTCTCTCTCTCTCCCAGGATAAATGTTAATCTTATACACGTGCGCAAGTCTTTCGGCCCAAAAAAGACTGTAACTTTTAATCCTATAAAAAGTTTAAGTTTATTCGCAGCACTACGTTCTTTGTTTCTCTATAATTTAACGGATCCGTTTCCTGAAATCTTTTAACCGATTTTATCTAGGGAATAGTGGAAATAAACATTAGTCTACGTACACCTAAGATAAAACAAGTGTCACAAATCAGATGAACATCGCGGGAGATTGTTCTTAAGACAACCCTCATTACAACAGTTAATCCACCCCGTTACAAACTTATTATTTAATTTGTAACGGAGAATTAGCGACCATTCCCGTCTGGATTACTCGCGGCCGTCCGCACAAATTATTTATTCGGGGATTCGGGAAGCAAAAGACGTTCCCACGACTGAATAACGCGTCGAGCATAAACACGTTAAACGTATAGATTTGAAATCAGGATGAGGAGTGATACAGCGGTGAACAGGATTTAAGGATTAACACACTAATCCTTAAATCGTCAACAATAGGTTTTAAGACGGCGATCTTGCGCTTATACACTACGAGCGGCACAATAACAAACGCGAACGCAAAGATGAAACGGTGGCTGGTCAGCCTGCCGATTCCCTTGTTAAAACTAAATGTTACAACAAATGCCCGACAAACACTTTCCGCCATCAAACTATCAACGGGGTAGCTAGCATGTCTGCTACCACCCATAAACTAGCGCCCAAACATGCAAGAGAGAGAGAGAAACAAGAGAAAAACACGGTACCGACCTCGACCTTCAGCCTCTCTGACGGCTAGAGCGCTCAGTAGTGTGACGTCACTGGTGTTCCCCTCGCTGACCGTTTCGCTGATGTTTGTTGTCGTCGTTATTTTCCTCTTTCTCGTCCTCTCGTTTGCTCTACAATGCTACTGCCTCAAACCGTAACTCGCTCATTGATTGTTATTGCTGTTGTCTCCGCCGCCTCTTTATTGCTCGGTACTGCGGCACGTCCAAAACTGCTCTCGCGCGCACCCGCGCACTTCGTCGATTACCCGCACGCACCGGTGCCGGGTATCCTTCAGGACACGGCTGGGCGCGACCCAGCTTCACGCTCTAATACTCGTTCGCGCACCGGGCGTGTCTCCGAAAACGAACAATCGTCGATAAGGTCGTGGGGCCAAATCGAAAAACCGTGACCTTAGGTTTGATCCGCGCACGCGACTTCCTCTGCTTACTGCCTAACAGAGACTCTCTCAAATTTCTCTCTCTCTCTCTCTCTCTCTCTCTTTCTCTCTCTCTTTCTCTCTTTCCTTTCTTCTAGGCCATCTCTATCGCTCCTGTCGTCAGCTCAGCCTGTGTACAGCACCTCGAAAACAAACATTCAAGCATGAGTATGCGTACCACACGCACACACTCTCAGCTTGGCGCGGCGTACGGGCATTTGCGAGAGCCAGACGGACGAAATCGGCTTAGCCAAGATTCTCCGTTACAAGTTTTTAATTTTTTGTTCGATTTAATAATTCTAACTTCTATATCCAACAATCCTTATATCTAATAACCGCAATAATCAAAATCAATACCTAGAATCATAACCTTATACTTATAACCTTGCCTAATAATCTTTACTCTTTAAACGAAAATTATTTTCTTTATTTTTATTAAAATAAATAATCATTTATCTATTTCAACTACTCGTCTGAATCGTAATATACCAAATTCCTAATACTATACTCTATGTTATTACTGTTATCGATTAACCTCATCTGATAAGTCTTTTTATATGAAAGTGTAATAGAGTTGGCCTGAAATATCCTCTATCACTAATTATTTAAGGGGAGGGCAAGGGAGGCGGTGTGTCGCTCCTAGCAAAGCAGAAAGGAGAAGGTGTACATTCAATGATTTGACACACTCAACTTCGTTAATTGACCTTTTATTACACTTGCACTTCCCTGAGTGCTAATGAGAATACAAAACCACTTATCATTAATAATATGCAAAACTTACTCTAAATGAGATGACCGGCACGTTAGCGCTATATCGTCTCATTAACCGGCTCAAACGACTAAATGACAAAGATACGTTGCGCCGGCTCGTGAAAGCCTGGCGCCGCACACAAAACCGCAAGACAATGCCGAGGAAAATAGAGAGAAAAACGAGAGGAGCGAAAACTAAACCTGACCAAAAGTGATGGCTGCTTGGCAGGTGGGCTGCAGGTGAGGCGGCTAACGCAAGACGTGGCCCAGTTTTCTTTGTCGTCACGACTCTCACACTCTCTCTCTCGTTCGAGGCAAGGAAAAGATGGCAATCCTCCCAGTGCGGTCGATCTCCTTCGCGTGCGACGATCTAGTAGTGCGTGCGAGTCGGCTTCTCACGCCTTCCCCACCACTGTACTCCTAATCGGCGGCACGCGGCACTGCCCAGCGCGACAAGTGCCGCGCGCCGAGCCTCACCGGACTACATATATTTTCTCTCTCTCTCTCTCTCCTACTCTTGATATTTCCTTCCCATTTCTCTTGCTCGCTTCCTTCTCTCTCTCTAGCTGCAATACTGAAAAAGAATAAAGGCAGGCATCAGACACGTAAAATAACGTGCGTCCGATGCCAGCCGTGCGCCTTTGCCTAGGAAGGAAAGGGAAACAAGCACACGGTGCAGGCCATGACCAGCCTACACCGTCACAAAAGAAATCACTTTTTTCGGTATTGTTTTCTTCATTTCATAATTTTAATTTCAATATTCACTACTCTGTATTTATAATACCTCATATGACATCTTATGACCTTTGCTCTTTTTTAATATCGTTTATACTATGAACAAAAGATTTTCTTTTTGTATTTCTTTAATGTTTCTATTGAAACATCTAACAATCTCAAAATCTTAAATGTTTTATATCCTTAAAAAAAATTCTTATTCTATGAAAGAAATGAACTTTTTTATTTCATTTTAACTTTTATTATTTTAAGCCCCTTATACCTTCAGCCTCAATACTTAAAAATCCTAATATTCGCGCCTTTTAATCCCTTATAACCTTACCTAATAAACTTAACATTATAAACCAAAAAATTATTTGTAAATTTTTTGGAAATATTTTGACTTGTTTTTTTGTAATTTGTTAATGTTATTTTAAATTTTTGATGTAATTATTAAGTTTAATACCGTAATTAAAATTAATTTAATTTTAATTTTAATATGTTTATTACGCGCCAATAGTGTAAGGCCAACTTGGCCATCATTTCGAGGCTCTTTTCAGCAGCCAAGCAGCCTCTAATTCGAGGCAGAATGAAAGGATGCTTGGCCACACGTGTTAGCAAATCATTTATTTAAAAAAGACACTCTTACCCTGCTTTATTACCAGCGTGTCGCGCTTTCGATACGCTGCTCATAAATTTAATATTGTAATACGTATGAATTATAAGAAGGAAAGAGAATATGATTTTTACAGATTATTAATTTATTAAGAGCATTACATAGTTACTTTACACTTTATTTCAATAAAAACGGAGCACTAAGTGATAGAGATATATTTTACTAATTTTAACAATAA